GCTTATCAAAGATATTCAGATGCCTAATTTCTACCGATTTTAATGTGAGCTTCAATGCCTAAACAGAAATTGCAGAGGTGTCCTGCAGAGCTGATGGAAGCACTTAGGCCATCCTCTAACTGGAGAGCACAACTGCAGGTGAGGGGTGGAGGAAAGCAACCGATTTGAAGGAGGAAAAGACAAACAGACCACAGATAAGGACAATATGCACCAGGACTGATCCTCTTTAGCTTCCTTTTTGGCTGTGAGATATATATTTGGAAGAAGAAAGAGAAAAGGTGTTGGAAGGTAAAACTGTTAAATTATCCTATAAAAAAAAAAAAAAAAAAAAAAGGGGACCCCTGACAGCAGCGAGGCAGAAGAGGAGGAAGACATGGTGACACCAGGCTCCTCATTGCAAAGTTAGGAAAATAATACTTGGCCAGTACAGCCCCATCTAATACAAGAGAGTGCTGGGATGGACATGCAAGCATATTTTTTTACAAAGAGCTGTGGCAGGGAAAAGAAGGTGAATTTATGTTGCTGTTTTGGACTTCTTGTTTTCTTTTACATTTTTTTTTTAAATCCCCATCCAGACATCGGTCAGGAAGGACCTACATTTTCCTCACACTGTAGCACTATCTAGGAAGAAGAGATGCCACCTAAGATCAGAGAGCAAAGATGGTGACTCTGCAGGTCTACATCCTTCCGCTGCTTATCTTCAGTCAGAGTCTGTTTAAAACAGTTTTTCCAGTTTAAAAATTCTTAAGTAGCTCTCTTTTACACTAAAGAAAACAGTCTGTCATCAGAGATAGTTTAAAGTGAATTGAAGGTTTTAAAAACCTTCTTATTTTTACAAATACCAATTGAAGCAACTGTGGGTACTACAATTCCACCTTGAAGTCTAATCCGAGAGCAGGAGCACTAGTGTTGTGTAACGACAAAAATAAACACGACGAGAGACCTACTGTTACTTAAATGTGGACAAGTTGGACCAGCTGTGTAACAGTCAATGCTTCTACAGTAATAAATGTTGACAGCAAAAATAAAAAGAATGCATTACTGAGACATCATCAAATGAGCCCTGTCATTACATGGAAACTCCGCCCTGTATAAGCTTGTCAAAAAGTGTTACTGTAATCCTTTGAGAAGCCTCCTCCTCAGGCAATAGAGAAAAAATGTTTAGGATCAGCCCAGAACAGGTGTGTTGCGCTGTAATGCCAGGATTTAATCACGGATCTCTTCACATTAATCTCACAAAGGAACTAACTTGGATCTATTTGGGCCCATCATGCCATGCTGAGATGATTATTTAACTATCCAATTAAAGTAAGCAAGCTAACGGCGTGTTTAAAAGTGGACATTCCAGGGCATACGATATTTTACAATTATTATTTGTTTTCTTAAGTCCAGCGCCAGGCACTGACACTTAGGAGGAACTGATACTACGCGCTCTTTTCAAAGCCAGTCCCCGAAAAATCTGAGTTCACACCTTGATCAACATTGGCAGAGGCCGGTCGTCCCTGCTCTGAGATACCCCCTTTCGCTCACGGGAGAAACTCCCCAGTGGCGTTTATTTCCTCTTTGCAAAAATCCCCAGTCCCACTGCCTGAACAGCAGTTGAGGTATAAACATCCGTAGTGTGGGCCAGAGGAGCAGATGTGGTTAGAAAAGGAAAATATGTCCATTAGGTGTATGAAATCATGAGTAATTCTCATGTAATTCTCAGAGTAATTCTGCATACACAGCCTGAGGATGGACTTGAGACCGTGGACCTGACTGCCCTGACAAGGGTAGGTATAGGGACCGTACCCTGGCCAGCCGGCCCTGCTGCTGTTGATGCCGCTAAAACCACCATTTAATTACCCATGGCCCACTTCTCATCAGAAGCGCCACATCAGCACAAAGTCAGTACACTGCTGATCGTACTTTGTTATTTGTGGCTTGTTACGATGGCAATGTAAGGAGCAAACTTATAAAAACAAGATAGCACTTCAGCTAGGCAAGAGGTTTCCAGAATGTCATCTGGTCAACACAGCTGATGGGTGGCAAGCAGCAGGTCCAATGGTTCGTGGCCCAGAAGCCTCGGAGGGGCAGGGAAAGGAATGGGACGGCAGGTTGATATCCCTTAAAGAAAGCTTGGGAGAGAAAATGGGTGCCTAAATTACACACCACCATACGTCAAGACAGGTTCGTTGGATTACTATGAGTGCACATATGCAACTCAATGTTTTTAAGGTATGTATTTGGAGATTATGTAAGCAGCTCCATCAAGCACAATATACAAATCTAAAAATTAAATCCAATTGCTGGTTACATTACAGTATTTTAGCACTTGACATTATTGAATATACCCCAAATTTGCCTGATTAAAGTGTTATGAGGCTACACCAGTAAATTTTACAAATACATGGATACAAAAGCGCAGGATTTAACTAACCATACTATTACCACCAGCTAATTAATCTCACTTGGCTCAGGTGAGATAAGTCAGTGACGCTGTCCTGAGCATCCTGCCTACGCCATCAGTTGATGCTCAGTGAGGAGGAGCTGGCTGTAAAGGGATGCCTCAAAAGCTACGGCCAATATCATGGCAAACACCTGTACCATTAGCTGGCAGTGGTAATAGTCATCCTGCACCCAAATAACCATCAGAGGGCACTGCAAAACATGCTGTGCTAAACAGAATCATGCAATAGCTGTGTTGGAAGCTTTCGTGAGCATGCAAGTCAAAAACCCCGAAGTGAAGTTCAGCTGCACAAACTGACTCATTACTGATTTCATGCTGTTATTTACAAGTGTATCCAGTTCTATTTCTCTCTCACACAGACTTCTGTTTACAGCAAAGCTATATAGATGACTCCTCTTTTTAAAACTCAAAAGAGTTTTCTGCTTATCTTCTTGTGGTTTTATGATGACTTATTGTTGCTATTAAGAAAACAGTAACGGAAACCGGACTCTGTATCCTGTTTGCTATTGTAATATTTGTGAAAAAATTGCACCAACTGCAGTGAGATCTTAAAAAAAGAAAAGGTGTTGATGTTTGAACACTTGAAGTTGTCAAGTGCAAGACTTACAAGAAAGCTACATGTTATGTAGCAAACCACAAAAAGACAATATTGTTTTTTTTCAAGGTAAAGCCCTCTATTGACTACAGACTGCTTGTCAAATACTCCCTTCTCTGCAGTAGTAATTTCATAAAGCAAGGTTGTTTTTTTTTTGTTTTTAAACTTCCTGCTTCAAAGGCAAAAGTGTCTGAGATCACCTTTTTGGTGTGCTTGTAACAAGTGGAGCCAAGGTATAAGTAAATATCCTATTTGTGTATAGAACCCATAACGTCTGGAAATGTGCCCCCAAAGTTTATGAAATTTTCCATTAGTTTTCTGAATGTCAAGGTGTGTTAGAAAAAGCTCCCGTTGGGGAAGAAATGTCACTGATGCTCTCAGTGATAGAAAAATAAAAGGAAATATGAGAGAAGACTACAGAAGACTTGTACAAAGGTAGGTTTTAGAGGAATGTATAAAAAATAATTTTTCCATTCTCCCTATGCACTTAGAGTAAGCAGAGCACCTAGAGTAAGAAGTCAGGAGTCATCCATGTGGGGACATACATTACTGGACTGTGACTGTTCTTGGCCATCCAGGGAAGGACCCACAGCAGCTCTGGGTGCAGAAGCCAGTTCCTCGTTCTGTGATCGTGGCCTCAAGGCTACAGAGTCTTCTCGTTCTTTAAGCTTTCTCTCCCTTACACCCGGATTTTTCTCAGTTGCAAAGCCACCTGGTTTTATCCCCTGGGTCTATCACTCTCTCACCTGACCTCCACCACCTCCTCTCCTAAATACTGATCTCCCCTGCTCTGGATAACTGTTCTGGTCTCCTCTATTCAACTCCGATCACTCCTATTTCTAGTTCCTTCTCCTATCCCTTACCTGCTGTTATCTCCCTGCCTTTATATGCTTTTTTTTCCTTCCATTTCCTTCCTTTCTATCAGTTTTTATAGTTTCCGGTTCCCAATATTTCTGGGAACTCATCTGTGATGTGAATTTTACCTTCTTATTAAAGCATTAAACCCCCCCTCCCTACACCTGACATACTCCTCTTAAAACGCAAGAAAAAATTCAATTATATTGTGCTTTGGATTTTTGTTGTAATCCTCATATTAAAATTTGTGTTCAGTATTAACAAAATTAAAGTCAATCTCTTTACCAATGAATTACAGGTAGCATAAATAAAGAAGAAAAAAAAAGAACTACAGATACTGTGCAGAGACCATGCCTTCGTATTATTATAACCATAATCGGTAAATCTCATACTAATGAGATGCAAGATTTAAATGTGAAGAATATATTTAGTGAATTATTGTCAATCAATGTCTATACAACAGGATAAGAATAATCTTGAATGGCAACACACCTATTATTATAAATTCCTTACTAAGTACTTCATTACTTCAAAATGTCACTCAATTTATAAAGTAACAGATAAACATCTCTCAACTGTATATCTCACTGTGTCTATTTCTATGTAATTGAAACACTGGTTTTGAAAAGTCTTCTCATCACTTACCCATTCTGTGTTGTTCTGAGTGGGGATTCAGTACTGGCATAGTTCTGGTCAAGGTTGCTTTTCAATCCCCTTTTAAATGTATACATTTAAGATATATTTTTGTTTCTTACCTATGACTTGAAGCTGGTCGTTGGGGAAAAAAAAAATCTGATTGTCATTTCCTTGTATGAGCATATTAAGCTCTATAATACCACTGTAAATGTAAACAGTTGCTCATGACTAATATTCAGAAAAAGGAAACAAACTGAAAATGATAGTTAACGAATAAGGAGGAGCTTTTTTGAGAGACCCGAATAAATACACAAAGGAGACTTGACATTTTTAATCTCTGATGATGGAAGAGACACTAAAACACATCATACCCAACTTCATTGGCTAAAGAAACATCTGGTTAATTTTGCTTCCCCAGTGATTTGTGGAAGCCAGTAGGTATCTGCAGTAACTTTCAACGCTCACCTCATCCTTTATGTCTTCCTGCTGCTGGGCACTGAAGATCTCCATTGCAGCCATCAGCCTCATCATTAGCTCATCCACTGTTGTGTTACCTAGCAACAAAGGAAGATAGCTGAACTTCATATCATTAAAGTTATTAAACAAAAATGAAGTCATTTTAGAATTAATCCATAAGAAAAGCCAGACTTAAATAAATAAATAAAAAAGACAGCAGAAAATGCAAGAATCTCTAAAGAATGCACTTAGTTTGCCTTTTTATTGAAAATTCAAAATTTTTTTCACAAACAAATATTGATCATAGGCTAAAATTTTAGGTGGCTCAAATCTGAACAATTGCTTTTGTGCTTGCATGGAATAACCCTATTTTTTTCTTCTAATCACTGACATTAGAGAAAAGTTTTATAACCTTTCCTATATCTGGGGTTCCCTGTCATGACATTGATTTTACAGCTTTAGAATTCCCGTGTATAATCAGGGAGACTGAAGCAATTGCTTAGTCAGGTAACAAAAGGCAGGATGTTGGCAGCAGCATCCAAGTGGATTGGTGTAGAAAAAAACGTAGAAAAACCCAGAATACAGTGATTGAATGGATGTGTGCGCACGCATTTTTATTCAGGTATAACTAGTTGTAAAACTTCAAATATTATAATATATTCTCTTCAGTGTATTTACTTCTGATAAAACTTGTAAAGCTAATAATAGCAGAAACGTAAGTCATATGTGTACATATCAAGAAATACAGCACATGCATAGGAAAATAGATACCTCCTCACATTTTTCTACTAGCGTGTCTTCAGTAAGACTGAAAAATTAGTTTAATTTCCTACCAAGTTTGCACTCAGTCTTTGTTTTCGCTTCTTAAACCAGACTACCCATTAGAGCCACTTGTCATAGCAGTTAAAAGGTCTTAGACCACGAGAAGTGGTCTAAAACTAGAAACTCTTAACACCTGCCAACCTAAACAGCCTTTGAACATTCGCAGAACAATACTGACAAGAGCTAGATTTATACTGGTGATGCTGGCCCAAATTTTAAAAGGAGTAAAGTAAGCAGAAGCCACAGTACAACTAAAGAAAACCAAACTGTCCCCATAGTTTCCAACCCCAGGAAAAAATAAAAATGGAAAGCAAACTTAGACAGTCTGCACTTCAGTAAACACCACTGGGACTTAAGTGTCTATATTGTTGTATCTCTTCTGTAAACATGCCTTCCCGCCCATCCCTGAAACACCCTCATTGTTCCCATTTCTGGCATTTGCTACCTTAGCAGAAAATGTTATCCCACATGCTACAACACGCATGACTTCAGAGACCACCATTCATTTGAGGGCATGTTGTTAAAAGATACCAGTGTTCCACTTCAAGGGAAAACAAGCAGCACAGCACGTTTCATTTTTGTTAAAAGGTAAATTTAAATAACGCTGCAATAGATGACCGGTTTAGTTTAGTTTAGTTCAGTTCAAAAGACTGTTTGCAGAAAACCTGAAAAATCATTAAAACTTAATGAATGCAATGAAATAATTTGGATTATTTTATAATATAAAGCTGCATGATAGTATGATTTTAAGTCACTAAGTTGCTAAAACAGTTAAGTAATTTAAGCCAGTAAACACCACTGACTTCAGTGGGATAACACAGGTGCTTACAGTTATACACATGCTGAACTACGCTGCAGAGTTATAAAAACAAGAAAATCTATTTATAAAGTTACTTGAATGAAATAAGTTTTCTAAGTGACAGAAGTGCCTTGAATCAGTGTTGTGCTGTACCTCCCCCTATGGAGACAAAAATCCATGCAAAATTCACAATTTTGGCCATAGGATGGAGCTGAGCAGATTCCGCAAGAAAATGATTAATCCCATATGCAGAAAGAAACAGTTATTGCTGTCTGCAAAACACAGGCTGAATTTCATCAGGAAAAAAAGGAGATCAGAATAAAGATTGCTAGATATAAGCAATAAATAGATGAGGACACAGTGTCATGAAGGCAAACTTGTGGAGAAAGCAGAAGAAATGAGAGGCAGCCATTCTTTGATGTATTTTAATTTGAAGAGTTACTGAGAACAGCAGTGAAAGGGCATCACTTCACATCTAAGCCATCTTGCTGTCAGTGAAACCAGAGGGATGGTTATGCCAGAAAAAACTGCTCATGTAAGGCAGAAAATTTAATTTATGTGAGGTTATATTAGCAACTTAAAATTCTAACTCGATTTGACAACTCAACACTGCAGGCAAGGCTGAAAAAGCAACTCATGTTCAAATATTAGCCCTCCACATGCAACAGGAGTCCACGCGTTAACAAGGAACTATACACAGAGAACTAAATGCATTCCAGCACTACACAAAAAGGGCAGCCAAAACCTTTTGGAAATCGGTAATTTATACGGATACAAACCTGGAAAACTAAGCGTAGCCCCTTATTTTGGAGATTTGTCTTCTACTTCAAAAAAACTGAAAAACTTAAACTATGATTCTACTACAGTCACAGCAACTTCAATCTCTAATACTCAATTAACACATTTATGAATAGTAGCTATTTATACTATGGCAACTGAAAGTTTTTGTGTGAAATAAATTCATACTCTGAACATCTTAAGAAATGGTTAGCAGAGATGTCTTCTAACAGTTTCAATACTCACGTAAGAACTACTTTTAATATAAGGCGAGAACTGTACCTTGTATTACATTCAATACTTCATTAGACGATCGCTTTCCCATAATAATAAGGAAAAGTGGAAACTGGTCTGTCTTCTGAGTTCGAATTGTTTGGGCTACAACACTCCCGAAGTGTCTAGTGCACATTGTCAGAAACCTATGTGGAGAAAAAAAAGTTACATTGTAGAGATTTTTTTGAAGTTTGTTTAAAAAAAAATGCAAAATTCAGCAGTTTAACTGAGTCTTATCTACTGTTTAACAACTAGGCTTCTGCATTCAGTTCTAGAGCTCTTTCTCCCTTTTTATGATTAAATTATGAGAACATTTACAAATATGATAGTCTCCAGATTGTCTAAATTAAAACAATCAATAACTGGTTGAGACAGTGATTTATTTGATGGAGAGTTCAATTTCCCGGTACGGTATCCTGCAGGCTATAATTCAAAACTAACTCCCCCTAAATAATCATGCCAAAACAATTGTTAAGAACTTCTAAAGAGAAACTAAGTAGAGCCATAATCTAGTAAACACAGCGAAGTATAAAAAGAGTACAATTTCATATGAAAGCATAGTTTAATACGAAATAAGAAAAGAAGACAATAAGAAATTGTTTTTATCAATCATAGAATTAAAACATGGTACTTCAGAATTGTATTTTCTTTTGTACTAGTGCCCTGCCAGTGGCATACTTAGCAGTGTGGTCTAAAAACAATAATTCTAAGCTTTTGACCAAAAAAAGCTCTCAGATATTAGCATACAGAAGTCTAGCATTAGTATTCTTAACACGATCTTGAATAAATGAAAAAACTGATAAAGCTTTTCTCTTCCATTAGAGGACTGTTTGAAATTAGCATTTCTTTCAAGAGAAAAGGGTAGCTTATGATATGTTTTCAGATCTGATGGTAAAAAGTAAATGTCATAATAATAATGAATTATGAAAGACCAAATGCAAATATAGAATGCTTTAATAAGATCCAATTTAATAAAGTCTGTAAAAATAATGGACTTTTAATAACACGGGTCACAAAAGGCAAAACAGTGGAAATTCTGAGGACTAGCCACTGGTAAAGGCTTATTAATTCTTAATTATGTTCATGAAAGGCAACTTAAATCGTGTGTTTTCTTATGCCTTATGATAATATTTTAGGTAACAACTACTCTGAAATGTATGCTCTAACTGAAGAGCAAAGTCCTGTTGTCACATGCATTAGAAGCCAAATCTATTTGAAAAGACAAACTGCACTAAAATGTCAAGCGCTCCAAGTCATTTCTTCTCAAAGATACTGAAAAGATTCAAAATTGTAATTTTTTAAATCAATATATTGTATCTAATAAAATGGCTAAAAATTCATAAGCGCGATGAGTACAACATTGAGCTTGTTTGAGGCACCTGAAGTATAAAAAAAACCAAAAAAACCCTCCTCAGACAATTTGTAGTATAACTATGGCCACAGCTGGATGGAAGGCAATGAGCAGGGGTAGGTAGCGAGTATTTCAAAACCATAAATGTTTCTGGAAAATACTTTTCCTTGCCTCTTTGATTCTCTGTCTTTTGCAATCCAGAACTATCACACCGAAAGACAATGTCAAAAATGCCAAATAGGGATTGCTACGTCAAAAATAGCTACGTAGAGACATACCATCTGGTAAAGATAAAATAAAGTGTCCATAAAGTCTGGACACATAAACTTTTAAGCTAAATAATGTTGGGTTTTTTTTATTTTTGCTTTTCAAGGTGGGAATATGTAAGTGAAATCTTGGCTTCACAGAAGTCAATGGTGATCATTCATGGCAAAATGAGTTATGTGTGTTCAAGGTTTCACTCCTGAAAGTAATAAAGACAGGGATCAATTGAACTGAATTCCTGACACTTGTGTATCAAAACTGTTTAACAGTCTTCAAGACACCATGGAAGAAAAGTATTTGAGTTTCATGTGAAAACAAAATACTTAACTGGAGGTGAAAAAGTGCTGTAGCGAATACTGCTAGAAGGAACAAAACTGAGAGACTATTACAATACTGGTTGCACTAGTCAAAGGTGTTGGCTTGTTTTGGTGTTGGTTTTTTTTTTTTTAATCAATTCTGTATTTAGTCAATCCATAACTCAGTCTCAAAATACGCTTTTATAGTTATGGATTTTGTATGCAGAGAATTCTGAATAAAGTAAGTATTTCGGTACATTAAAAGATCTCCCAAATAATTTTGAATAATGAATGCCCAAACTACAGCATGGGCAGCTGCGATGAGGATGTTCGTGGGGGATGAATGGCCAGCTGGTGGTTATCAATGCGCATCTTCAGACCAGAGTGAACACACACGAGAAACTCTTCTCACTAACATGACCCATCAAAAGAGATCCTGCCCTTTGGAATCAGGTAAGATGCCACTTGTCTGTTGAACTAAAACGTAGTAAAGCCAACAAAAATCTGAAGGTAGTCAAGTGATGCAACACCGATTAAAGAGATAGCAACAGCAATCTCCAATTTCTACACTGTATAACTCCTGTTCACCAGCAATTACCCACTCACACACGTGGTCTTCGCCAGGTCAGTGCTAAGTGCTCAGCAATTATTCATAACACATCTCTTCTTTTCATTATATTACAAGTAGGAATCAAATTTTCATTCATGATGCCCATTCAGTTTTTCTTATGCCTTTTCACAGCTTTTGCAGCTACTTAACTGATTTTGCATATTTTTTTCCCCCTTTTCTGCCTTTACTGATTCTGTATTTGCAGACCTTTTTAACTTTCTTCCACATTCACATCCGGGAAAAAAAAAAAAAAATAAAGTCTCCTCTGTCTAATATTTACTGTCAGAAGTATGTGAGCAGGACCAAAACAATTTGGTGCAGTAACCAGCATCCTACTCTGTACATCACTAACAAGTGATTTTCTTACTTTCATCTAAACAGAAGCGTGCCAGATCTTTCTGTGGCATCTCCAGAGCTGCCAAGAGAACTGCCTGTGGAGCACATCAAAGAGCCAGATGTCCCTCTGGGGAGAACTGTTTTCCACAACATGCTGGATTACTGTGATCTCCAACCAAAAGTGGAAATAGAGGAACGCTGCCAGAAAGGGAGGGCAAATGGCACCCTACTAGTCCTTTTATTTTTAAATTACAGAAATATTCAAGGAGGGAGAAGTATGAGAAAGGCAAAAAAAGCATTTTATGAAGGAAAAATCCATTAATAAAAAATCCCCAAAGTTACAAGACTAAAGTTCATCAAGAAAAATAATAGTTTCGGCAGACAGCATCATTTCTTACTTCTTTCGTGACTCGCTAGCAATGAAACCAGCAGTTATTACAGCTACAGAATAAATGGCTTGACAAATACAGAAACAAACCCTAAAAAAATTACAAACTCCTCTTAATTTTTTAAATGTAGATTGAACAGGTATTAATTCTTCGAGATAGTCCATTCCTTAGTTAAAAGTGGCATACAGAAAAATTATTCTGGTGAAATGAGGATATTAATTTGGGGGGCTGATGATCACTGCACAGCGCGTGCACTCTGAGATAACCTGTGCGAAGAGTTATTATGTTTGTAGCATGTTAGTTTCCCAGAGAAGAACATTATCATTCCCTACCAGCTAATATATGTTATATTAAAATACACTCGGCATAACTTTTTTAGTAATTTTTTCATAAAATGCAATTTATTTAATATTACTTTAAAAAAATCTCCTAGAAGGCAATTATGAAAAAATAACAGCTTTAAAAATCTACTGAAAAAAAGTTTAAACTATTACTGAGTCTCAAAATCCAAAAGTGGAGACTTATTACAACTTAAGTCTGTGGTCTACCGGGGTTTAGCAATATGTTTTTGTGAGAATGCGCAGCTTTCAATTTTAAACAACAGAATTGGCAACCTCTGGCCAAAGTGCTGATCATCAAAAAGTGTTGATCTCAGAGCTTAATATTTTTTGATCTCTAGAAAGCTTTTGATCTATATGATATCTATTTACACCATAAAATATGTATTGCCTTTGAGGGGGAAGAGCCCAAAGGACAACGCCAACCCCCAGGTGGGACACGGCAGCTGTTCCCGACAGGAGGTGTTTCATCATTACAATGGCTGGTATTATCTCATTGTTTCTTTATATATCTCCTGCTCATGTATTATGTTGTTTCACATTTTGGTTAGTCATATGGACAGGATCTACTGCAGTCAAGTTTGGATCTGTGATTATGCAAGATCCCTCCTTACCACACCATGAAAGTGATCGAACAAACAAACCAGCTATGATGTTAAATACATAAGAAAAACATAAATATTCCTTTAATATCTCAATTTAAACAATTTAGTAAGCTAAGAGCATCTCTGGTGCCCAGTCCCTAAAGGGGGCACAAGGCAGAGGTGTTCGTTGGCTCCCACACAGTCATGTTGTATTTTCCAATGTGAACTGGTTCAAAGTGATTCCTATTCTTAACTAGTAGAGGAAGAATTTACAGATAACTGAAGAACCGAAGAGGAATTAAAGGAAGAACGTAACAAAGAACTGACGATTCTGAGCAATAGGAGTCCTCTGCATTTCCATGAAAAAACACAGCACAACGTAGCACTGCTGCCTGCTGCCCTTGGCCTTGATCCAGTGGAAAGACTCTAAAAGAGCAGAGGAATTCAGTCTTTTTTCTCTTTCCACTCAGAAAAGTGGCAACTGGCATGGCTTTGAAAGACATGGACACCACCTACCAGTCATCACTGAAACCAGATATTAAATACTCAATGCCTGTCCTCTGTTGTGGTATGAATTTTCAGTTACCTACTGGAATCAAACTGATAATACAATTTGATAGGATGAATAGCTCTGCATACATCCCCAAATTAATCTATCTTCTCGAGCCATTATGAATAAAATAAAAATGTAAAGCAGTCATGGCATCGTATAGTTGCAGAAAGAGTAACTAAATCTAAAATGCTCATTCTAGCTCTTTCTTGTTAATCAAGCAAACCTGCAGAAGGAAACTCATGCAGAGCAAGCCGCACATGGTACATTGTCGTGTACTCCTGGAACGTGCAAAGAGGGACACCTGATGCTATATTTTGAATGTTTTTTGTGTGTTCAAACAAAAACTGAAAGCTCTCTTTTGGTTTTGCTTTTCTTAAACTCTCTCCAGCACCTTAAGGTTAATTAATAATTTTATTAGCAAATCT